TGATCTCAACGACAGAATGTCAAGCTTTGAGAATAATCTAGAAACAAGGCTCACTGAGAAATTAGCAGCAATAATTGACGAGAAGATAAAGTTAGAAATAAACAGGGCGAGAAATGATATAGACTCAAGATTAGATAACTTCGAAAAGAAAATACAACAATTTGAAAAGACTTTCTCAGAAGCTGCTAAATCCAAACCTCAAGACAGGATCATCGAGAGATCTGTTTTTATCAAGAATCTGCAGGTTCACACAGACGAAGTAACGGACCCACAAGTTACAGTTAACAAGGTAACGGCTCTTATCAGGGACGGGTTACACCTACCAGACGTGAATGTCTCTAATGTTGATAGGAAGAAATCCTATGGTAAATACCCTGGAGTAGTGTTAGCAACTGTTGACACTTTGGACCAGAAAACAAAACTTATGAAGGCTCAATCATCTCTGAAGAGCTCCCGTAAGTATAGTAACACTTTCATTGAAAATTGTACAACGTTGGAGGAGAGAATGCATAGCAACAATATGAGAACATTACTAAAGGAAATTGGGAAGGAAAATCTATATACTGTGAACAGAAGTGGATTTATTTCTAGTAAAAGAGAAGTAACACAACTCCCCGGGCCTAGGGGGTCAGGCTTGGTCTGTGGAACGTCGGTGGATGGTCTCTAATGAATGTAAATAATAGACATTTTAGGGAAAATGCAGTTGGGTACTTTGACTATGATATACTATGTCTCTGTGAAACATTTCTACGGGATCAAGAGGACATTAGTCTGGATGGATATGTATGGTTCGGTAATAATAGAACAAACCTGCATACAAAGGCTAAACGTGGATCTGGCGGTGTTGGGGTTCTTATAAAGACATCATTTTTATCTAGATATAAAGTTGAAGCACTGGACAGTGACCAGGAGGATGTGTTATGGCTGCGTTTGTCTTCTAATACTACAGTTGAGAGTCTATGTTTGTGTGTAGCGTATCTACCTCCAGCCGCTTCTACAAGGTCACATAATGCAGAAGATTTTTTTGATATTCTACTTCAACATGTTTATGAATATCAAAATCTTGGAAAAGTTGTCATCGCTGGCGACTTTAATGCACGCATTGGTAGTAACTCCGACTACATCGAAGGTGTTTACAGTGTGGGGGAAAGGAATGCGATAGACGAGAGCGTTAATGCAGCTGGGTACCTACTACTAGACTTTCTTATAGACTGTAATATGTGTGTTGTTAACGGTAGACTTGGAAACGACAACTTCACTTCTGTGTCGCATAGGGGTCGGGCTGTAGTAGATTACATTATTGTGCCTCATGAGCAGCTGAATGATGTGTCAGATTTAAACGTGCATCTTAGGTCAGACGTACAGAATTTTACTACTCAGATGGGATGTGACTGTATTCCTGATCATTCTGTGCTGGATGTAACGCTAGACTTACTTGCAATTCAACCAGATTCTCAGTCTGACGATATGAAGCTGTTATCGGGTTGCTGGGATATACCAAGGTACAATGTAGCTAATATACCGGACAGTTTCCTGAATGATGAACATACTGCACGCAAATTACAAGATACACTTCAGAAGATAGACGATGAACTAACACAAGGTCAAGACGCTCACTCTGCATATGAGAAGTTTACTACTTTCATTAAAAAAGAATTCGACTTAAAGCTAGATAAGATGAAGACATTTACTGAGAAAAACACCAACAACAGGCATTATTGTAGGCGAAAGCCATATTGGACTGATGAATTACAAATGTTATGGGATGGGGTTAGTGTAAAGGAAAAGCGCTGGTTGTCTTTTAAAGGTTGTGTTCATCGTAAACGTGTTCTTAAAGGCGTTTTTCAAGATGTAAGAAAACTGTTTGACAAAGCAAACCGCAAGGCGAGAAGATCATACCAGCTACAGAAACAAGAAGAACTAATCAGTGTACAGAACATTAACAGCGGCAGAGACTTCTGGAAAGAGATAGGTCGACTTGGTATAGCCAACGACAGAAAGTCTAGTTCCGTTATCCCTATGGAGGTGTTGATGCACGACGGGTCCGTGACCTGTGAGACTGACACTGTATTGGATCACTGGAAAACCTCCTACAGCACGCTTTATAACGGTAGTGAGAATACAGCGTTTGAACGTGCTAATTATGATACTGTGTGTGAACGCGTGCGTAGCGGTACCGTGGGGTGTGCAGATTATGATCTGTCGGAGTTGAACCGCTCTGTCTCAGTCCAGGAAGCTGACTTTGCTGTTATGCAGATGAAGACAGGAAAAGCGGCTGGGGTAGACGGTATACCGGTAGAAGTACTACGAAATCCTCATTGTATTAACTTACTTCACCATATTATTAATTATTGTTTTGAACATTCAGTGTCGCCGTCTCAGTGGGGAGCAGGACTAATAACTCCTATTCCTAAGGACAAAAGTACCCCGTCAGATCCTTTGTCTTACAGGGGCATTTCTCTCATATCAATACCCTGGAAAGTCTACACGTGTATACTGAACTGTAGGATACAGAAGTGGTTGGAGTCAAATAATATTCTTGTGGAAGAGCAAACTGGTTTTAGACCTAAGAGAAACTGTACTGATCATTTATATGCACTTTATGATATTGTTAATAACCGTAAAGCCTCTAAACGATCTACGTATGTCTGTTTTGTTGATATTAAGAAGGCGTTTGATAGGGTTAATCGCAATTGCCTTTGGTACAAGCTTATGTCTGTTGGTATTCATGGTAAAATGCTACAAGCTGTACAAGCCTTATATATGGACGTAAAGTGTGCAGTTAAGCTCAATGGTTTTATCACTGAATCTTTTAACGTTACCTTGGGCGTTAAACAAGGATGCAAGGATGCTTATTGCCAACGTTATTTTCCGTTTATATTAATGATTTGGTGTTTGTTGTATGCTGATGATATAGCCTTGTTAGCTGAAGACGAAGACTCGTTACAGAAAATGTTAAATGTTTTAAAGATATGGTATCAAAAATGGCGTTTGGATATTAATTCAGACAAAATCATGCATTTCAGAAACAAATCTGTGGCTTGATCTGAGCGAGTATTTGAATGTGGCAAATCTATTATTTATTATGAAAGCTCTTACAAATATCTTGGTTTAACTTTTAATGAGCATTTAGATATGCACAAAACAGTCCAGGTGTTGTGTAAATCGGCTAGCAGAGCTCTTTCTGCGTTGTATTCAAAGTTTAAACACGCGGGTGGCATTTCCTACGAAGTATTTAACAAGCTTTATAAAGCTCTTGTAGAACCTGTTCTATTTTATGGTGCTGGCATTTGGGGTTTGAATAAGTATAAGGAAGTAGAAATAATTCAAAATAAGGCTTGTCGTTTGTTTCTAGGCATAAGAAAAAATGCCCCCGTTACTGCTATTAGGGGGACATGGGCTGATGTTCTGTTAACGTGTCACAGCATGTTGAATGCTTTAGATTATATTTTAGAATTCAGAATATGCAGACCCATCATCTTCCTCTTATCATTCATAATTGGTCCAAAATCCGATCACAATCCTGGGATAAAAAAATCGTAAATATTTTAGCTCACTATAATTTGTCATATTTACCTTATTGTGGATACAGCATTAAACAGTGTGTTGATCGTGTAAAGTGTTTCTTAACTGCTGAAGATTGCGATATGTGGTATACTGCGCTTTGGAATGACAAGAATAATCCAAATGGCAATAAATTACGCACATACAGAATGTACAAATCATTACCTACTGCTGAGCCTTATTTATGTCATGTACGTTTTAGAGATCATCGAAGACTTTTAGCATCGTTTCGATGTGGTATTTTACCTTTACATGTTGAAACCGGCCGTTACGCCAAGCCACCTACCCCACTGTTGGATAGGACTTGTAAATATTGTCACCCCTATCCTATTAATGATCATGTAAATTATGTTGAAGATGAATGTCACTTTTTAATAGAATGTCCATTTTATGATGATTTAAGATACAACTTAGCTAAAGAAGCAACTTCAGTTGATAAAGCATTTCATTATATGAGTAGTTTAGAAAAGTTTCTTTTTATTATGAACGAAGAATCGCTCAAATGTATTTTAGCCAAATCAATTTACAACATGGTTAAAAGAAGGCAATTTCATTTTTAAGCCAAGTATGTATGTATGACTTATATGACTGTATGTTGGTATGTATGTATGTATGTATGTATGTATGTATGTATGTATGTATGTATGTATGTATGTATGTATGTATGTATGACGTGTGTGTGTGTGTGTGTGTGTGTGTGTGTGTGTGTGTGTGTGTGTGTGTGTGTGTGTGTGTGTGTGTGTGTGTGTGTGTGTGTGTGTGTGTGTGTGTGTGTGTGTGTGTGTGTGTGTGTGTGTGTGTGTGTGTGTGTGCTCGGGGAGCGGGGGCGGCGCAACGAGGTGGGGGGAGTCAAGGGGGAGCGCACTTTTTAACTTAGGACTTTCGAAGTCAGTTGCCCTGTATCCTGGCATACTGGCCGTGCTCCGCGCCTGCATCACGAGGTATGTATTTATGTAAATGTGTCTATGGATGTATGTATATGTGCGGTGTATGTTTAGTATGAGTACGCGCCTCCGTGTGGCTGAAAAGTAGCTTCACGTAGGTATGTGTCCGTGTGCTACATTTTTTATTCTGTTTCAATAGTTTTATGATTGATACGTTTTATAGTGTCTCGTAGGTCATATTTAGCCGGATGTTATATTTTACTGTTTTGTATATATCTTATCACGAAGTGTATATAACATGTGACACTTTATTAAACAATATTCTCTCTCTCTTCTCTCTCTCTCATTAAACGACTCGTATATTCCTTCACGCGTGGTTGGGGCAGTTCGACGGTCACGGCCTCTTGTCTACATACGAGTACAATGTGGGCCGGCTCCGTGATGGTATTACCAATGTACTTAAATGTCAATATCGTTCCAAAAATAAATTTTCGAAATGAATTTGCTGTCATTTGCACATTCGCCTACTTAAAGAAATACTCGACACATACGTTAATAAAACGATAAATATTTTATTCAAAACACTTCAGTACAAGTTGAAATGTGACATGATAAATGGCATGTCGACTGATAAAAATGTTCGTGAGCGCTGAATATTCATCTTTGGACGAAAGCCGACTGGATCGCGTGCTCGACAACAAAAACATGCTCTGTAATCCGTAAGTCGTATCACAGATAGAAAAATATGACGTCATCAGTGGACGGAAAGATGGATATAAGGCCGGTTGACAGACGAGGAACACACTTATTGCCGGGCCATCGCCTGTTGTTGGCCCCCACGATCCAGTGCATCTACTTCCTGTAAAGGAAATTAGTGAAGATTTTGAAACAAACACATACATGCCAAGAAAATAGGGCCTATGTCCATGTTTCTCACGGTCTGTTATTTTGTTTGTGATATATCATAACGCCAAATCGGATCCATTTGAAGACAAACGCACGAGCAATAAATAGTGAGTTCATGAAAAAAACTATCGATGTATCCGTAGTTCGTGTCGAGTGATGATAAAATGTATTACTTGGAATTTGAGCACGATTTTATTTTTGACTCAAACTGCTGCCCGGTTATTTCTGACAGAAAACATCTTTTCACGGTCAAAACTCCACTATATTGTATAATGTTAGCCCTTGCTGACCAGGGCTTTATACACAGGTATGTCCATTGGCTTCAAGAATCATCTCACAGTTGTTCCAAACTACATGTTTCTCGCGTATTAAAGACATGATTCTAAACCATTGTTTTTAATTTGAGGTTTATCTTAATCCACATACAAAAACACTATATTTTAAATCACCTAATATGTTCCTTGTGCGACAGTTGAAGCAACGTGTTATGTACCTATTTTCATTTCACAGATTAAATCAGCTTCAATTATTAATTGTTTTAATAATATTCACTTATACGTTGACAAGTATTCTTTGCAGGTACCATATCAGTAATGGTATGTCAAACAAATAAACCTATACTGTTATGTTCTGAATGTATAACAATACTTATCAGTGTAATAGTAAATTATGTTGCAATTGGAGATATCCTTAGTCACAAAGAAGGGTCATATCCACTAAAGCTAGGGACATGGCGTGATTGATACATGCTGATCCATAGCAACGAGTAAACAAAAGAGAAACACCTGACACTCTTTCAAAGTGGACGCACTACTATTAACGTGTGTGTGAAACCCCGCGTCTATGCAGAAAGCCGTACCGTCGCCTAGATATTTGTAGTTGACAGGTCACATAGCCAATCCTATTGAAATTTGCTGAGCTTACCTTGCATACAAGTCAAACGTGAAAATATTAACAGTTTTTGAACAACTTTCAAAAAGTTAATGCTATGACAGTCTTGACATTAACGCATTAAAAACCGTGGTACACAGGTAATGTTTTTACCCTGGTTGGGCGTGTTGCGTACCTTCCTACCAATCTGTCCGCTGGTTGGGGCAGGCACGTCCTGTGTACATGCTACATTACTGTCAGAGTATGGTTATGATGATAATGATGAAGATGATGAAGACGATGATGTTGTGAATCCTTCTTACCTGTGCTTCTTGTATGATTGAGCAGATGCCACAGAACCAGTGCATGATACAATCGTTACAGAATTCGCCCTGAAATACGAATGAAATCATACAACGTCCAGACCATGTCAACATACATTGTCCTTGATTACATGTATACATCTTCGTATCTGCAATAGCTGCATAAAGTCAATTGTCAAATGAAATTAGCATTCGGGAATTTCGTTTTAGTTCCAAATTATGTTGAAAAGAATCTGCGTTGTAACTGATGTAGGTTATTGAAACGTTCCTTCGACCGCGATGAAGAGAAGTGTATAAAACATATACACCACTTTCACAGTGACATACTAACTGTCCATCGGGACCTAATGATGATTATGTATTAGTGTGTAGTTGATTAGAAAACGAACATTGGAAGAAGAACTAATACATGGTCTAAGAGTATTTCTCTCAAGATCACTTCCTTGAAAACAACAATTTGTTTCTTGACTATTGATTTCTGATGTTTATTATGTTTTGGTGATATATAGTGAATTACCTCAGAACATGACGCTATTGGCGCATTTGCTTCTGTGTAGCGCTAACATGTACATACACAAACACACCTTTACAAAACTTCTGACTGTTTTTGTTTAATTTACCTCGATTCCTTTGCTTTCCCTGACCTTTGCCCTGGTTTTGGCTCTTGTGTAGATACCGATAGGTCCCAAGATGCTTAAACATCCATAGGTACAGCAGCTTTCACCAGTTTTCTCTGCGATTTTTCCTGCGGTGTAGCAGGGTACGAAATAGGTTATTATGCATAATCCGCAGTCATTGAAACAACCAAAGAGACCGTTTGACCACTCGCCCATGCTGATGATGTGTTAGACTGCCAACACCGTGCCAGGTATTCCGGTATGTCTGGATGTCTTGCTTGTGGGAGGTAATATACGCCCGCCTGACATGACACTGCCGTTGCCAGAGGTGACAGCCAAACAAAATATTACCAACGATTGGGCGTTCAGGAGAGTGTGGATATAGGAGGTCAACTGTAGTTAGACACAAAGCGCATGCAGGTTCTGGTGAGCACGTCTGTTGAATGTACGACATCGTTGACCTCCGTATACAAACAATGGACCTTACGCCTATTACCTCAGTGCATTGAACGTAATATTAAAATCTCAAACGTATTTCTCTTTATTAAATCTGATTGAAAAGTAATGGAGCTACAAGTGAGTGAGTGAGTGAGTGAGTGAGTGAGTGAGTGAGTGAGTGAGTGAGTGAGTGAACGTGCTGATGAAGCGCCATGTTTATTTACCACTTCTGCATAGTTTATATTGAAGGTATAGCTTATAAATAATGAATGTAAAGTTTATAATGAAGGTATAGTTCATAATGAAGGAATAATTTTAAAGGAAGGTATAGTTTATGATGAAGGTATAGCTTATAAGGTAGGTATAGTTTATACAGAGTGCGAACCAGCGACTACAGTTTACTGGCACGCCAAAGTGAAGCGATGACGACGCAATGGGCTGCTGGCTATTTGTGCCAGACATGATAATGTGTTATGAGTGACGTTGTATATTTGTGTGGTTCACAAGGGGTCTAGTTCGGGTGGACGGCGTCATGCTTGATTGAGTTAAGCAAGCTGCCTGACGGGGAGAAGCGTGCTTGTGGGGTGATTGGAGTTTGAGTTGGCTTGGTAACTGATTGGTGTGGGCCGATAAACCTTTTGTTGTGTGCTGAAGTAGATAGCTTTCTTGGAAATTTGTTTACTATATGAGGGCAAGTTATCGAACAGAAAGGGGGAAGGAAAAAGAATTGGAGAGGGAGAAATAATGGTTTAACTGAACGAGGGCAGTTCAGCCCAGCGGTATGTCCGGAGACAAAGTTAGAAGGTCATGTCGACGCTTCGAAGGAGGAAACTGTTGTTACCCAGTTATCCTGTGAACTGTGATATACAAGTTTGGAACAATGTGAAATGGAATTCATTGGGAATATGATGTCAAGAAATCTGAGGTGACTATTATCTATATTGCACATTTGCCATATTGCTTAAAGCAGCCTAAATAGATGTGTATGAGTGCCTTGCCCATGCCAGTAACTGAAGAAGAAGTCTTTATTTGTACCAAGGCCACTGGCCCATATACAATACATACATTTGAAATAGTGCGGTACATGAAAAAAGGTAATGTCAGGTACAAATTTTACCGGTTTACAGGCTTTTCATAATTACGTCTTCTTTCATAGCTGTAATACAGGTATTTACATAGTTTTCCAAGTAATTGTTTACACGAAGATGACAGTAGCGTTTTAAATTTATGCATATTTGGATTATGGCAAAATGTTGTTGGTAAATACAGATGTCTAATATCGTTGTAATATTCACATTCTAAAGTAAAATGATATTCATTCTCTATACTTGTTTCACATATGGGGCAGAGTCGTAAACGTAAGTCAATATCAGCCCATCTACCTTCGTTTACCTTAAGTCTTAGTAGCCCGGCTCTAAGCCTTATCAAAACATTTCGATATTTTATTTCAGTAATAATGGAAAGGTATTTTTCTGGTTCCAGGAGACTTTTAAATTTTTTATACAGAATGTACCTAGAACTAGCCTTGATAGTACTATTCCATGATTGGTAGAACATATTTATCAAAACGTTTTTAAAACTATTCATGAATGATGGTTTGTCGCCAACAGCTTGACTGAGCCAAACTACTCCGAATCCGTGAGAAAATAATATGGAACGAATAGAAGAAGCATAGTTATGACGACCGCACTTGTCATAATATACAAGCATATTATAAGATTTTCTTGGTATCCCATCTTCGTCCATTTTAATCAGTTTTAGCCAATACTTTACAGAACGACACATAGCATTTACATGTAGTGGGTACCGACCGCATTCCCCATACACAATAGCATTTGGGGTTTGCAAAATTTACCGCATTCCCCATACACAATAGCATTTGGGGTTTGCAAAATTTACCGCATTCCCCATACACAATAGCATTTGGGGTTTGCAAACCAACGTTAAGAAACTTCTTACAAGCCATAATATGCACTTGTTCTATTTTTTTAAAACTGTCTACGCCCCATATTTCCGCACCATATAAAAGAATAGGTTGAATCTGAGTATCAAATATTTTAAAGAAAACTGAAGTGTCAACAAAACCAATCTTCCGTAGATTGCGAAATATTTCCATTAAAGCTCGTTTACCCCTTGATGCTAGATCTGAAACACATTAGTTCATCTTTGATGTATATGAGAATACAAACCCAAGATATCTATAGGAGTTGGCGGTTGAAATACGTTTGCCTTTAAAGAACCATTTCTCATGAACAGATAACCGCCCTCCTCGTCTAAATACAACAACACTCGTTTTATCTAAATTAACCGTTAATCCATGTGAATCTGCAAAGTTATCAAGAATATTAAGTTGGTTCTGTAAACCAGTTACTGTGTCAGAGACAAGAATAACATCATCGGCAAATAATAATAATAATATTTCAAACAAGTCAGGAAATAATTGTACGCCGTGTTTCCCATGTGATGAAACATCATTTGACAGTTCATTGATGAAAAAAAAATAATAATAGGGCTTAATATACAGCCTTGTTTAACTCCGTTAGGACAATCAAAATATTCTGTATAAATGTTATCATTACATCTCACACACGCTTTCACGGAGGCATAGATTCCCTTAAGTGCTCTCATCATCTTTCCACCCAAGCCAACATCGTGCAGACACTCCCATAGTTTAAGATGATTTACTGAATCAAACGCTTTTTTAAAATCCACAAAAGCAACGTATAATTTCCCTTTTCTTTTCGATAAACATTTGTTAACAATTGCATTCAACGTGAATATGTGGTCAGCAGGAGAATATCCCTGTCTAAAGCCTGCTTGTGTCTCGGGTAATTTACTTCTTATATTAGCCCAGTTTGTAAGTCTAGAGTTTAAGACACTTGTGTAAACCTTACTAATTGTACACAATAGAGATATCCCTCTAAAGTTATCTGGATTATTTTTGTTACCTTTCTTATGTAGTGGAAGGATAATAGCTTTCGTCCAGTTCTGAGGGAATAATCCAGAATCAAATAACTTATTCAACAAATTTCGTAGGAAAGGAGTTATTAAATTTTCACAACATTTTAACATTTCAATGACCACGTCATCAACACCAGGGGATTTGCCATTCTTTAAACGATTTATAGCCTTGTGGATTTCTGAGTCGGTAATCGGCGACTCCAAAATACACTGGTCAATCTCATCAAGTATAAAATGTTCATCACATTGACATTCGACTTCAGCATTTAATACATCTGTACACTGAAAAACTGAGAATTGTTATATACTTATCTTTGTTTTAATTATTATACCTAGCTTTAAACTTCAGAGATTGTTGTGATTCTTGTAATTGTTATTTGTGGTATTAGCGGGAACCCCTGCCGTTCATACCACACGTAACAAGTGTATAGTGATATATATTAAACACGTCCCATTTTATTTCTGGAAACCCATTGTCCAGAAACTGTCCACGCAGCGGCATATTAGAACCTAAATATACACGAACACCGTTCATACATGTTGCTTGATAAACATATAGTGTTCAGCCGACAACGTTTATTTGTATCGATCCCTGCTAGCTTCTAACACTGTATGTTCGTGATCAGGACAGGCATGTACTGGGGCTCGTTGTACAGTGGGGTGTATATCCCTAACAGCGTCCAAGTCTGACACATATTTTCGATCGAGGATATATTGTCTTAATCCACAGTGAGTAAGTGGCTATGGTTTAACGCCACGTTTAGCAATAATCCTGCAATATCACGTCGGGGGACACCAGAAATGAGCCTGACACATTGTATTCTTGTCGTGAATTGAAACCAGCGTGACGAACGAAAGTTGTATCACAAGGCTGCACCACCAAGCGGCATCTGCAACGCGCAGAGCGTCGACGTGGTTGCTATGCTAGGAACTGACAGAAGTCAGCTTGCAGTGGTCAATATGTTCAATGTTTCACAGTCTGTGAATAGCAGGCTATGTTACAGGTGCCAACAAACCCAAACTATTGACGACCGACCCCGTTCAGGGCGTCCCAGGTCAACGACAAGACAGGCTCTTCGAAATCGAGCTCAAACGGCCAATCAAACTGCTGCAAACATTCAAGAGACAACTGGGGTACGAATAACTAGTGAGGCGATAAGACATCGTCTACATGTAGCTCATCTCCATGCTCGACGGCCACGTGTTGTGCCGCCTCAATCGTCACATTGCCAACAGACGTCAATGGTGTACACAACGTCGCAACTCGGGTATTCGTCGCTGGTCACGTGTCCCGGCACTACTGATCCAAAAACGTCAACCTTGAAATTTTCCATCTTACCCCTATCGTCATTCAAGATCGTTGGCGGTGTAGCATCTACTGTCGGTTGAACTAATTATATCTATTACAATTTTGGAAAGTCTAAGTTATTTCCGAGGATCCCCTTCATTTGTTAAGAGTATATAATGATATTATACAGATATGCAAATTATTATCACATCATGCATGTAAACATGGTTATATCAATAGTCATGTCAGTATGTTTACATTGCTTTTGGTAGACATTGTTGAATATTGTAAACCTATAGAAAGTGTGTTCTGTGTTGTGATTGGCTAATTTGGGTCACGTGACCAAATGTCAAAGGGTGAAAATATGATTTGCATTCCCTGAAGCAAGCGACCGAATCACTGTGTAGGAACACATAATTACTCAGCATTTTTTGCATACTAATCAACAATGGACGCAAATTGAAATACAAAATTAACATTCATAACAAATATTTTGATTTTCTCTATTCATGGGAATTATTGGGATTTTTAATTCTTAATTAAAAAAAATTATAATGAAATAATTACCAAAATCACAATCACCATAGCGACTAACGCGCTCCTAGCGAATCTTCAGATATCACTGTTCTGTATATCAAACGGCATAAAAAAAAATCCAAGACCAAGCCAATTCTTCAAGAAATGTGTGCATATAATTTAATGAAAAATAATATCGATTTTGTTTAAGTTATATCGTCAGTTTTAGTTATAAAATATAATGAAACGGCTATTCATGGACATTATTTATATGAACTTATAATATTGACTATTACACTCCCTAGAAATATATACACGATGAAATGTAAATATACCTGTCACATGTACACTTGTTCAAATTAAAGAAATATCGTATACAACACTATAAACTTATCAACTTCATATGTGAACATTGTTCAAACAAACAGGAGATTATCAAACGTTCATATATGTTGTGGCCTATATCTACGTATGATATCATATTGAACATTGATTAATATCCAAAGTGAAATTAATTGTGTGAAAAAAATGTACAAAAGATATGCAAGATCTACATCATGAAACAGTAAAAAGCAGTTAACAATGATCGTGTGTACTTTCATTCAAGGACCTTCACCTCAGAGAAATAACCACATATGTACAACAAATATGTTGAAGTTTGACATCACTACCGGTGACCGAATTTTACAAAATGGCGTCTTGACGGTCAACAGTGCGCGGGATTTTACGAGGGGACTTTCGTTGATTCAGGGTTCGTATATACATAAATGTGACATGTAAGTAATCAGAAACATTCTGACAATCTGTGTACTGTTTTTTGTTGTTGTATTTTTCATTGAAACCAACGAAAATAGTCAGAAATTCTGATAAATACCGTTGTCGTTGTGCGTGATTTTGCGTCAGTCATGGCGTCACACAGGACGGTTCTGTTGAAAATATCAAATTATTGCAATGTATATGTATGTTTAATTCCCTAATTCTTCCTACGATTCTCTTCCCGTGTATATTCTGAAAATGCAGATCTCGAGCCAATGTACTCAACGAATAGACGAATGACTTTGTTTACATTTCGCTCAAGTGCATTTTTTTCAGCGTTCGTTTTCACACCTCATTTATTTTGCTTCATTACATCCAGACAATTTGTATTGATGACAAAGATCATTTGGCATTTGATTCTAAAATGTATGAGGAATTCAAGGATGTAGGTATCGCAGCTGAAATATACGTGATGGTATTTGCGTCTCATTACCGGTGTACGTTAATTACCAAAATCACAATCACCATAGCAGCGACAGAACGTTCGATGTTGACGCCACACAACCGAGTAAGTACGAGGTGTTAAAGAGTGCGCATGTTTTTTTCTAAATAAAACAATAGGTTTACAATATCGATAAATACTATGTGTGTGTCTATTTCCGGGATTTTATCGAGTATTTGCATCTTGGAAATTTTCATTCGAGCCCCTCAAGCTAATGCTTTCGGGTCTCGAGATGAATTTCCAAGATGCAAATACTCGATAAAATCCCGGAAATAGACACACACATAGTATTTATCTTCTAAATGTTGATTGAAGTAATATCATCTTAAAAACTACTTAGTCGAATGTGACCTTTCTCTTAAATTAAAACGTCAATGCCACCGGAATATTCATAGTCGTTTCTGTGTCTTAAGAAAAAACCAGTGGCGTCGACAATGCGAGACTCTCGTGTAGACTACCAAGACATAGACGTACTTAATGCAGTGTGGTTACATAATGCAAGGTCACCTAGCTCTACACTGAAAACGCAGTGTATTTATCCCCTCATGTTTACTTAATGATTCATAAATGTGTCACCAACATGAACACTATCTCGTATTACGTTACAGCTGATGAGTTAAACATTCCGAATGGACGAACTCAAGGCAAACATTCATTTGCGATGTTATTAATCAATACTGTGCCTACGTTACACAGTTATATTTACTTACACATACTACACAAACCCAAATTAATGTCGTAAGTTTCCATGTAGAGGCTATGCATCTTAATCACTGACATCAACGCAGTATGACACTTTATACAATTTTATTGATTGATGATGAGAGGAAATACACAAATACATATGCAGAAATTAACTTTACAATGAATAGCTTGATATGGACACACACAGATACCAAATAACTTTTCATGTATAGTTTTATTGATATTGGTTGACTCTGTCGAGTATTTAGCAAATTATCTTCACGTTAAGGACTCCTAAATGGTGATGCATGCAGACGGAGTCCCCTAGTGATGAAGATGTATTATGTCTATTGACCTTTTTCACACTTCGCTACTTCCGGTTTGAAAGCGAGGCTTGGAGAGCAGAAGGTGAAGGCTGGATAGCACATGAAACACATGGAGATGTCAACAAGGCATGCAATCGGGACAAACTGTGACAATTTAACCATCCCGGTACATTTATCGTAAGTATTAAACATTATTCTTATTGACAAACTATTCTACTGTTATCTGGTCTCCTTACCGATATAAATTTGAGTCTGGCCATTCTGTTGTGATTTCAATTTAAAATATTCATGACCACCTGGTAACTCCCAGTGCAGTTTATGGTAGCTGAACAGACTTAAAACAAATTCTACTGAAATCTTGTAAAAATAATTTATTGTTTACACACCATTAAGCCAAACTATTTATTGTGAGTTTAAATAACTTTGCGGGTTGTATTTGAAGTCGAAATATTGACCTTTTGACCATATCTAGATATATGTCAGAAACTAACTAAATTGATATGTTGATATAATGTATCAAATTGTAACCTACTGAGAATTTACAATCGTAACAAATCAGAAGTTTGCATCAGTTGTGTATTTGATGTAAATTGTAATGGACTCAAATGCATTCCAATAAAATATTAGACCTCTAGATCTACTTGTGCTGTTGTGATTGTGAACAGTTGTTATTTTGATTGTCAATGTTGACAGATTAGATAGCATGAGGTGTAATATTTCAACTGAATTATTACATAAAGGGTGTGTAAATATTTAAAGTAAAGTACAGTTTGATCTGCAATTTTGGTAACAATTAATATTTCTACCAAAATGATATTTACTTTACTGTACCAATTTAATCATGTCATGAAATGAACAAAAACCCAACTAATAATGTCCAGTAAATGTTCAATCTACATGTGATCTTTACATAATTTACAGAAACAGATAACTCTTTAACAGTTTGTATTCAAATATTTCAAATGCATAAACTGATATTGACATTACTAAAAACTTAAAGTATAAAAAGAATTATTTTTAATTCCCATGCGTATTGCAGTCATAACTCATTTATTCCCTTTGTTTAATTGTGAAACCCATCTGGTTTTATGTCCACAAACATGTTTTGAAACTTTTAAAACAAAAAGATATTTTTGGGTGCAAGCAATTGCCATGTATTATTGATTATTAATCATATCAATTTATATATAAGTTTATTATTGTGCTTACTGTGTCATTTTGCAATAATTGTATTGTTATGATGTAAAATTTACAATTGTTAACAATCTTTAGAACTTTAGTTTATTTCAATCACGTCAAGTGGTGTGATCATTTTGATATTTTTTTATAATTCAATCAAAACGAGAAAAATAAAAAAATATAAATACATAGAAGAAATTTGTTTTTCTTGTCAAATAACGATGATAGCATGAATTTATCTCATGCTCCTTGTATAGCATGCTCCTTGTGAAAATTCATTCCATTTCTTCTTCGAATGTACCTTATATGATGATTTTAGGGAGACATTACTGACAGCTATCGATAATCTTGGAGGACAAAATACTCTACATAGTATTCTTTTTGGTGATTCAAACTTAGATGTTTTCCTGAATACAAAAATATTCTTGTCTGTACACAAATTTATAGAAACGACTAACAGATTCAGTAGCTAGCATATTATTGTTTCCAAACTGTTAATCATTAATATTGTTAAATCTATATTCAACACTAAAATGTATAATATTAGGATATGTATGAGATGCACACTGTCTTCACTTTCCAGCACATTGTACATATCCTTCATATATGAGCACTGTATATATATTGCGCACTATGTTTCCACAATGTGAAGCTTCAACTGTAAATTGTTCATTTTCATTATGCAATATTATGTATAACTGTATATAGGGAGAAGGCGGTAATAAGTGCTGCCCTTTGTCTTTTTGGACAATAAAATATGTTTAATAATATTTCATCTTGTGATCTGACAAAGTTAATATTTTCAAGTCAAAATATCAACTTTAGTAAACCACATGAAGAGATAAATATTGCATTTGACAAAACAAATTCAAGTCTTATATTTTCTTTGTGATCTTCATGAACTTACTCAGAAAACCATAGTGTCAATGAGGCAGACTGACTGTAGGTGTGACAAAACGTGATATTTCACCTGATTTTAATAAAAATCTTATTTTTTTCACTCTAGCGAAAGTATGTTTTCAGCATGGTCATGATTAAATACATACCGGTAATACAAATATCAAAACGTCTTTCATTAAAACAAGAGTGAATTACTGTGACATTGATATAAAGAGCTGTAGTACACTGTCATTAAATTGATGCATCTGTTGAGTTTACCCTTTACACAGAATATACTGTTTGAGTTTTCGACATATCAGATGAATTGATGCCTTCAAGATTGTTCTAAAGTACATGTAGCATGTAATGTTACACACTGTGATTAATTTTCCTTAAACTTCTCTATTTCAGAAGAATGTTGTTTTCTAAATACGCAATATTTTGAGAGAAGGTGACTATGCATTGTTTATAAAAAATGTTATTGAAGTAGGAATATTATTACAATATAATAGAATTATTCATTTCAGGCCAGCGAGTCAACACAATGAAGTACATGTACTAGTATCCGGTGACGGATGTCTGGAGGAGCTTTCTGCTGACAGTAACACAATGGTTACAATGTGCGTCCTGTCAAAGGACGAGGAAGTGAAAAGCCATATTCATTCAATCAACAAATGTGGTTCCTGTCACATTTCTCTTAAATAGGACGAGGAACTGAAAAGCCTTATTCACTCACAAATCAACATGGCCAATATTTATCGGACACTGAAAAAGCACATTGTACCATTTGTTTACAAGCAAGAAAATTACTTTCTCCTGGAATTTAATTAGGTGCTTTTGACTGACAAAGTCACTCAGTCCATGTTAAGTTTTGAAAACTTATATTGTGAGAAATAAAAATATGAAAATTTTGGTTTGTTTTTCTTTGTCAAATATGAGAAATCCAGATTGTTCCATCAACATAATTTGTACTGATACATATATTTTATCTTGGCTTGATTACCAATTGAAGTTGATTCCTTTTTATCTTTTGATATTTTATCTGTACTCATATCTGATCAAGACATTTTCAAACTATTCAGGATAAATGTATGAGTAGCTTCCTTTTGATATACAATTACCTTTCATCATACAGGATTAGGTGAGGGTGTTCAAGAAGTTGGTAGTTGTATCAATTCTTATATTTCTTCAATTTCATGCATTATTTATATTTATCAATTTTTAGTTTCCTTTTAACTTATTTTAAACAGTTCACACATTATTACTTTTGTAGTGCACGGTGCAATCTCAATCGTCAATAATCAGTTAAGTAAGTGATGTTTGAAGAACAAGTAAGTATCATCTGTCATTGTACACACTGAATAGGGTTATCGCCCCTTCTGAATTTTATTTTGACACACGAATTATTTTCATATTTAACATTGTAATATGTTAAAATGAAAATCATAGCAGAAAAAGTGTCTTTTGTCAACTGGACTCATGGCAAAACGATAGTGCGTTGTGCAGCAAACACCACTATGACACGTGAAAAAAACATGATCTCAATCTTGATCTAGAGTTCGCCCAGCCACGCATTGACTGAGCAATTTTGCAAAAGTACACTGACGTGTTTCATGTTATGCGGTTTTTTTACGATAGAAAACTTCTGTCATTGAATGTACTGTCACATTGTACCTATATGCCGACGAGGTTATGATAAAACAATCTATTTCTGAAATACGTATCTCGAAATGCACCTTTCGATTCACTTCCGGGATCCTGACAGCAAAATGCTAATTCCAGTGTATAACAGGCATATTTTAGTTGGACCTCATGATTTAATGTGAAATATCTTCTGTATTATATACAGAGGATACCATTTTTTGTTTGTTTGAAATGTCCATCAGTGAAATGCACAACATGCTGTCTATTCCCTATGAGCTGATGCGACTCTCACTGCATGGAGCTATGCTCTCCAAGCCTCGTTTTCGATCCAAGATGGCGAAAGTGTGAAAAAGGTCAATAGATGCCAACACTGACCTCGTTAACTCCGTCTGATGATGTAATGTTACAAACGCCTAATTTCAACACTCGCTTAACTCGAACGACATGTATTGATATCTCGATGTATACTTTCTATAGTCACAAAAAATCAAGTTAACGAGGTTTTAATTTTATATGAAAATAGTATGAGCAAAACAAGAGCATTCATGCTGAAAAATATATGAAGCCATAATTTGTTAAAAAGACATATGTCGTACATTTTTTGAAAATAATATATTACGTGTTTTACATTCGCAAATGTACACATTCAATGTAAATGTTATAAGTGCTTTACAAAATGTTCGAATGTTGGTCTCCTCGTAAAGTCAGTATGACCAACTTTCCAATATGCATGACCGTGCATAAATACTCAGCAGTCAGAAGACGGACGGAAGTGCATGTTGCTGAGTCGTCAGAGGTAACAGGCCCTACTCCCGTGCAATAGATTGCTGAGCCATACCTTCCACTTCCTGAAATAGAGAAATGAAACATCATGAATATTCCTCGTTCATTATCAGTAGTTTCACTCTTACGCGGGTAGTCACGAGGTATTTCAGGTAACCGAATTACCTGGGCACCCCCAGCACGAGCACCCACGTGCACTGTGACAGGGAACTTTGTTTGTTTTGTTTGTTTGTCGTTTAACGCCGCACTCAGCAATATTCCAGCTATATGACGGCGGTCTGTAAATAATCGACAATCCAGTGATTGGTATCATGAGCATCTATCCACGCAAGTGGGATACGATGACATATATCAGCCAACTCAGCGAGCCTGACCACCCGATCCCGTTAGTCTCCTCTTATGACAAGCATGGGTTGCTGAAGAACTCTTCTGGTCAAAATCTTCACGGGTCGACAAGAAACTGGTTATGAAGACAACCACAGGTCACTCCACGTGTTCCGCGAATAGGGGGAATTCAACATGAGTTTGTTCTCTGTCTAACGTATTAGTGATAAACAAAACAATTAACTCATATCGCCTCCTTTGATCTCCGATGTATCGTCTTGCCAAGCAGACCACCTCCGTGGTCTAGTGGTAGGGCGGAGAGCGGAAGGTCCGGGCTTCGATCCCCGGCCGCATCATACCAAAAGACGTTAAACGATGGTACTTGTTGTTACCCTGTCTGGCGCTCGGCATTAAGGGGCCAAAACAAGGACTGTTCGGCTCGGAGTCAGTATACTGTGTCTGAGTGGGGTATTCATGTTAAACTGCGGCATGATATCTCAGTGAGCTAGCACTATAAATCGGCATCAGTCCGGACTAGTACAAGCAAACACAAAACACGTACATGCACGTCGCTATATAAGTGCAATAATCTTGGACGCGACGTTAAACCCCATTTCACCTCACCTCACCTCTTGCAAAGCCCACTCTCAATATCAGCATTTTTTAAGTAGTGACTGTGTTCTTGAAAGAAAGTAAAGTCTGTGTATTAATTTAAAAATATCTTTCTAATATTTAACACAACCTCCGCTATATACCTGACTAAAACTAGTGTGTTTGCTTCAAACAATAAAAGCCGTTAGCCGTATGTGGGGACGGAGTAAGATAAAATGTCTATGTTGAGGTTGGAACCGCAGATGTACCTACCATGCTCTCGTGACAAGTTCAGAGTCTCATCCTTGATAATGTCACAAAATAAAGTGACATCACTCAGTTTACTTAAAGTACACATAGTTTATGAATTACAACTCCTGGACTACTTCAAGTTTGCACAGTCTTAAGTTACACATCGTTGAGGACATCTCGACTTTTTCACATGCCCATACGGATAACTCTGCCCCTGTGTAACAATGTCATTCCATACTTAACATGATGCCATGTATAGCTTTAATCCATTCCCTCGTCGCTATACATATTGACAAGATCACATAATGTCCGTAATTCGGGTCGATGAAAGACTATCTCTTGCAGATGTGTCCGAAGATGTTCTTCGGTGCGCTAGAACAATATGACCCTGTATATGATGAGTATATAACAATATGACCCTGTATATGATGAGTCTATAGCAATACGACCCTGTATATGATGAGTACATAACCATACGACCCTGTATATGATGAGTATATAGCAATACGACCCTGTATATGATGAGTACATAACCATACGACCCTGTATATGATGAGTATATAGCAATACGACCCTGTACATGATGAGTATATAACAATACGACCTTGTACATGATGAGTATGTAACAATACGACCTTGTACATGATGAATTTATAACAATACGACCTTGTTCATGATGAGTATATAACAATACGACCTTGTACATGATGAGTATGTAACAATACGACCTTGTGCATGATGAATTTATAACAATACGACCTTTTACATGATGAGTATGTAACAATACGACCTTGTACATGATGAGTATGTAACAATACGACCTTGTACATGATGAGTATATAAAAATACGACCTTGTACATGATGAGTATATAACAATACGACCTTGTTCATGATGAGTATATAACAATACGACCTTGTTCATGATGAGTATATAGCAATACGACCTTGTACATGATGAGTATATAACAATACGACCTTGTACATGATGAGTATGTAACAATACGACCTTGTATATGATGACTTTATAACAATACCAGCATGTACATGATGAGTATATAACAATACGACCATGTACATGATGAGTATATAACAATACGACCTTGTACATGATGAGTATATAACAATACGACCTTGTACATGCTGCGTATACAACAATACGACCTTGTACACCATGACTTTAGAACAATAAGACCTTGTATACCATGACTATAGAACAATACGACCTTGTATACCTTGACCACATGACACTATTATTATCTGACTATTGTTTCAGATATAATATATCTCGACTATTTTATGAGTTCTGATGGATCACGACTATTGTGTCAGATATGATACATCTCGACAAATGTATGAGTTCTAATGCATCACGAATATTGTGTCAGATATGTTATATCTCGATTATTGTATGAGTTCTGACGCATCACGACTATTTTTTCAGATATGATATATCTGGACTATTGTATGAGTTCTGATGCATCACGACAAATGTAGTAGATATGATATATCTCGACTATTGAATGGGTTCTGATGCATCACGACAAATGTAGTAGATATGATATATCTCGACTACTGTATGAGTTCTGATGCATCACGACTATTGCATTAGACATGAAATATCACAACTATTATATTAAATCTGATACATCTCGACTTATGTATGAGTTCTGATGCATCACGAATATTGTGTCAGATATGATACATCTCGAATATTGTATGAGTTCTGATGCATCACGACTTTTGTTTCAGATATGATATATCTCGAATATTGTATGAGTTCTGATGCATCACGACAAATGTAGTAGACATGATATATCTCGACTATTGAATGAGTTCTGATGCATCACGACAAATGTAGTAGATATGATATATCTCGACTACTGTATGAGTTCTGATGCATCACGACTATTGTGTCAGATATGATATATCTCAACTATTGTATGAGTTCTGATGCATCACGACTATTGTGTCAGATATGATACATCTCGAATATTGTATGAGTTCTGATGCATCACGACAAATGTAGTAGATATGATATATCTCGACTATTGAATGAATTCTGATGCATCACGACAAATGTAGTAGATATGATATATCTCGACTACTGTATGAGTTCTGATGCATCACGACTATTGTGTCAGATATGATATATCTCGACTACTGTATGAGTTATGATGCATCATGACAAATGTAGTAGATATGATATATCTCGACTATTGAATGAGTTCTGATGCATCACGACAAATGTAGTAGATATGATATATCTCGACTACTGTATGAGTTCTGATGCATCACGACTATTGTGTCAGATATGATATATCTCGACTATTGTATGACTTCTGATGCATCACGACTATTCTGTCAGATATGATACATCTCGAATATTGTTTGAGTTCTGATGCATCACGAATATTGTGTCAAATATGATATATCTCGACTACTGTATGAGTTCTGATGCATCACGACTATTGTGTCAGATATGATATATCTCAACTATTGTATGAGTTCTGATGCATCATGACTATTGTGTCAGATATGATACATCTCGAATATTGTATGAGTTCTGATGCATCATGACAAATGTAGTAGATATGATATATCTCGACTATTGAATGAGTTCTGATGCATCATGACAAATGTAGTAGATATGATATATCTCGACTACTGTATGAGTTATGATGCATCACGACTATTGTGTCAGATATGTTATATCTCGATTATTGTATGAGTTCTGACGCATCACGACTATTTTTTCAGATATGATATATCTGGACTATTGTATGAGTTCTGATGCATCACGACAAATGTAGTAGATATGATATATCTCGACTATTGAATGGGTTCTGATGCATCACGACAAATGTAGTAGATATGATATATCTCGACTACTGTATGAGTTCTGATGCATCACGACTATTGCATTAGACATGAAATATCACAACTATTATATTAAATCTGATACATCTCGACTTATGTATGAGTTCTGATGCATCACGAATATTGTGTCAGATATGATACATCTCGAATATTGTATGAGTTCTGATGCATCACGACTTTTGTTTCAGATATGATATATCTCGAATATTGTATGAGTTCTGATGCATCACGACAAATGTAGTAGACATGATATATCTCGACTATTGAATGAGTTCTGATGCATCACGACAAATGTAGTAGATATGATATATCTCGACTACTGTATGAGTTCTGATGCATCACGACTATTGTGTCAGATATGATATATCTCAACTATTGTATGAGTTCTGATGCATCACGACTATTGTGTCAGATATGATACATCTCGAATATTGTATGAGTTCTGATGCATCACGACAAATGTAGTAGATATGATATATCTCGACTATTGAATGAATTCTGATGCATCACGACAAATGTAGTAGATATGATATATCTCGACTACTGTATGAGTTCTGATGCATCACGACTATTGTGTCAGATATGATATATCTCGACTACTGTATGAGTTATGATGCATCATGACAAATGTAGTAGATATGATATATCTCGACTATTGAATGAGTTCTGATGCATCACGACAAATGTAGTAGATATGATATATCTCGACTACTGTATGAGTTCTGATGCATCACGACTATTGTGTCAGATATGATATATCTCGACTATTGTATGACTTCTGATGCATCACGACTATTCTGTCAGATATGATACATCTCGAATATTGTTTGAGTTCTGATGCATCACGAATATTGTGTCAAATATGATATATCTCGACTACTGTATGAGTTCTGATGCATCACGACTATTGTGTCAGATATGATATATCTCAACTATTGTATGAGTTCTGATGCATCATGACTATTGTGTCAGATATGATACATCTCGAATATTGTATGAGTTCTGATGCATCATGACAAA